CTTCCCCCCCCAAAAAAAAAAAAAAAAAAAAAAAAAAAAAAAAAAAGATCCTGAGACGGCAGAGAGCGCCCTGTCCAGACCTGTCCTCACACTCTCTCTGGGAGCCAAGAGATGCTAGGCCTGAAACTGCATCAGGAACCTGCCCCTGGCCTGAGGCATGCCCTCTAACCCTCACATACCCACCCATAAGGACCCCCCTACTTATAGCATCTACCTAAGCCTACCAGACAGGAGCTGCCACCCCAGCACACCTGCACCCTTAAAGCTGCAGTTGAGGACACAGTGCCTGTACCCAGCCTGCCAGCTTCCCTCCCTCAAACATGGTATATTATCTACAAATGCTGGACAGAGTACAGGCAACTCTGTTTGCAGCATAATTTGTTAGTAACTCAATCCACTTTAGTTAAATAAAGTTTTAAGAGAATGAAGATGGTTCACTTCTCTACAGGAGAAAAAAAAGGACCCAACAAATACAGGGAGAGGCAAAAATAGGTTTACAGTTGTTTGTATGGAAAATAATACAATAACAAATAATAATACAATAGTGTGTCACGCACTCACAAATGTAAACCTACTTTTGCCCCATCCTGTACTACCTACTTAAATCTTGATTTTTAAAATAAGAGTATTTCCAAGTATAAAATGGGTGACAAATAAACAGGTTGACAAGAGCCTGTACTGGCAAAGGTGTGAGTGAACTGGTGCAAGCTTTCTGGCAACATCTACTGAAACTGATACATTTTCCTCTAGCTTCTGCCAGGACTTCCCACCTATAATGGGGGAAACTGAAGTTCAGGACAGTGGGGCAACATGTCTAAGGCCATGTAGCCAGTGTGTGCAGGAACCAGGAGGTGACAACAAACTAAGCAAGCAGGTGCTTGAAGAATGCCTGGGGAGACTGACCCACCTTTCTCCTGATTTCCCTGGGACCCATCCTCCAGGCACATCCACTAAATGGAGCCAAGATTCTTGCATTGGCCAAAATGTTTGTGTTCACAATAATATAGAGCTAGCAAATGAAAGGTCCCTGAATAAAAACCAGTTCCCTCTGCAACTGTCGGTCCAGTCCCTTCTTTTTTAAAAAAAAGAAAACCCACAAAGTTTTTATTGATTTCAGAGAGAGGAAGGAAGATGAGGAGATAGAACTATCAATGATGAGAGCCATGAATGCAAGCTTGTGAACAGAGGAGGATTGTGAGTGCTGAGTGGGGGGCGATGAGCCCCACACAGGGAGACCATGGGTGCATCTCCCCACATGAAAATGGGGCCTTTGTTGGTAGGGCCACGTTAGCCCTCTTGTAGATCCAGTGCCAGGCAAGCCTGGTTCAAAGGAGGCCCCAATACCTGTTGACAGATGTCAGGACCTTGGGTTGATGAGATTCCACCTGTCTTCCGACCCTCCCACATCAGGTGTTTACTGATGCTGACCCTGAGCACCTGCTCTGCCAGGCATGGACTTAAGCATCAGGCATGGATTCATTCATTCTCTCCTCCTCACCTTCAAAAGAGGACTCTACTAGTCTCCCCAGTGAAGCAGGGAGGCTCTGAACAGTCCAGACACCTCTCCAAGGCCACTAGGAGCACTGGTGCCAGGAGATGGGTGGTAGGGGAAGCAGCTAGCACGGTGGATCCCAAGACTGAGGGCCAAGAGCCCACCAGGACAAGGGAAGAGTCAGGTAAGGAAGAGGCAGACAGAGAAAAATGACAGGCTACACACCTGACACCAGGCCCCGCCTTTTCACACATAAGACCCTAGTAACAAACCTTTTGGGTGGGCAATGTTGCAGAGGAAGACGCCAAGGTCCCTGCCCACAGCCACATCATTAGCAAGGGCCTGGGTCCAAACCTGGTGCTCCATTCAGAAGGCTACGCTCCCTCCTCACTCCCCACACAAGGCTGGGAGAGAAGCTGGTGTTTAAATCACTGAGAACTACTTCACGGAAGGGCTGCCGGGGGATCTGAGCTCCTCATCACGAAGTGAAAATCACACAGGAGACACAAGGCTCTCTCTGTGACACACACCCAGAGAGACCAGTGACCAGCCTGCAAGGAAGAGCCCGCGAGGGCGTCCAAGACAGGAAGTGGGCGGAAGCAGCACAGCATCCCAGAGCCGTCCGGCCAGAGAGCCGACTCTGGGAGGGACACGGGCGCCCAGCCGGCAGCGACGGCCACGCGAGGCGAGCCCCGGTCCCGGCCCTGGCCTGGCCTCAGAGCACTCATGGAAGACGCTGAAGTGCTGACGGCAGCTGCGCCGGGACTGGGAGGTGATCTGCCCGGAGGTGATGCGGGACCAGCCTGACTTTTCTTTGCATCCATCCCACGCCCACCCCGCCCTCCAACCCGGGACGCCAAATGCCGC